CCGCTGCCTCCTGAGAGTCAAAGAATGATGCCGCTGACGGCGGCAGCAGCAGCAGCAGCAGGAGGAGGAGGAGGCGGAGGAGGAGGGGGAGGAGGAGGAGGAGTAGGAGTAGGAGTAGGAGGAGTAGTAGTAGTGGTAGTAGTAGTAGTGGTAGAAGTAGTAGTAGTAGTAGTAGTAGTAGTAGTAGTAGTAGTAATAGTAGCAGTAGCAGTAGCACCTCGAAACCTAACATGCAATGTCCACGTCAGGAGACCTCCACCCTTGCGCCATCCTCCACCCTGTCCAACTCCCGGTGCTCCCAACCCCAACCCTAAACCCTTAACCCCGTTCCTACGCCCCACAATCTCAAAAAGCTCTGCCTCGCGCGCTCGCGCCGGGATTCAGCCTTCTGCCTCTCCTTTACAAAGGAAGCTTAATGAGGTTTCGGGTTGAGGGTTTGGGGTTGAGGGATGCTTAGGGTCATGATTGGGTCTGTAGGGCTCCATAACTTCTGTAAAAACATGCGTAAGGCTTTACAGGACTTTTGATAGGCAAAGCAAGTTTGAGAAGGGTCTTGAATGGGGCCTTGCATGCGGCTCTATAAGGCTTTGTGGGGCTTCATACGTGCCTATGTTGGGGTGTATGAGTTTGTAGGGTGTTACGCGGGTTCTGTTTCGAGTGGAGACTCCCAGACCGTGGATTTGAGTGACCGATATGGTAGAGACAGGACATAGGAGGCTTCTTAAAAGTTGTGGTTCTTTTTCAAAAGGGCTCCCATAATCTGTGTATCTGAAGGGCTCTATATCAAGAGTCTCCTAATTTTCTGAAACCCCTCAATGCAGACCCTGACTTTACCTAAGTACTAAAGTAGAGGGATTACCCGTGCGACGTTTCGCTACCATAGCACAGTATCTCTCCTTTGTACCGAGGCACCTGCTCGCTCCGCCCAGCCTCCACAGCCTGCGTTCTCGACGTGGTTTCATGGCTCAGAGGCTTTGGGATCTGGGTTTAGGGTTTATAGGGTTTAGATTCTTATAGGGCCTTGCGCAAAGGGCTGAAACAGTGTGAAATTCAGATTTGGGGTTTAGGGCAAGAGTGTTTTGGGACTTCCGGGCTTTGGCGTGTGTATTTGCTGGCCTTTGGGTTTGCAGAAAGTTTTTTTTTATCACCTCTTTTCCTTCGCCTGAGGTCCGGAATACCGGTTTGCAGAAAGTTTGGAGTTGAGGGTTTTGCGAACTTGGGGCAATGTCAATCAAGGCAGGAATGCCACCTCATGCACCTACAGCCCTACCCTCTTGCCCTCGGACCTAGCAAAGGTTCGGCCCTAACTTTCAAGCCCATATTTACCGGAAACAAAAGTTGGCCGCAATGACACGGGGTTCCCACAGCCCGGTCTTTTCCTCCTCGAGCTTCCGCAGCTGCCTTCGACGCTCGGCCTTTTCGGTTTGTTTTGATCGATGTTTTCTCAGTAGCAAAAATAATAGTATCACTGATAAGAAGAAGAATGATAATAAGAACAATCTAATCATAATAAAGTGCTCTGGTCACTGGTGTCGGTGCTTCCTGCGGGCCTGCGGCTTAGACAAGTCTCGTTTTTCAGACTCACTAGGCTGGATGCCTCCTCGCCGTCGCTGTCCACATCGCTGTCGTAGCCTCAGTACAGGATGCATTGGTCTCTGCAGCCTTTCGGCAAGGGCAAAGGGTGAGGATGATGCCAATCTGCAGAAGACACTGTCAGTTGATCGTGAAGTATATATAGTGTATACATACATCCCTCCATCCATCCATGCATGCATACATACACATTCAAAGGCTTGGCGACCGTTTGGGCAAAAAATCATGTTTGCATGTGACAGGTGGTCAGGGGGTTGCCTAGGCTTCGCATGCTTGAAACCTAGGCTACTGCGGGGTCAAGCAGCCCACCAGTCGATCCTCCTGGAGACCAGACGGCCATGTCTGCTTGGGGGCTCAGGTCTTCGTAATAACTTAGGGCCCTAGGCCCTGGAAACTTCACTGGTGGCAGAACGGAATCAGGCAACACAGTAATGTACTCAAAGCCCATCCGCTCCTCCTCCTTCTTCCTCCGAGGTAAGTCAGCTGTCTTCTCAAAGACCTCATGCTCACAAGCGGTCGGAATTTGGTGTCACCTCCGGACCACCCTTCTAAGGCGGTGTCGAGAGGACTGCTGACTGAGGATCGACATTAACTTTTCACCCTTTCGTAAAATGTATGCAGGTGCACATGGACTGCTCACAAGTACCTTCGCCGTTCGGTGGGTCAGTCAACTGAGGCACGCTGGTGCTGGGTGAGGTGCCTGGTGAAACCATGCGCCCTGACAACGCGAAACCCACAATTCCTTCCGCGCAGCAATACAGGTAGCTGTCATGGCAAGAGGCGGCGATGAAGAAGCCTGCCCAAATTTCCAGGAAGATATCTTTGGATTAAGGAAGGACCTAGGAGTATTGGGCTATGCTGCGCTCGTTTCGAAGCTCCGACGGCAGCTACTCTCACGCTACAATGAAGCAAGGCCCGAATCCAAAGGTCAGGCCGATCATTTCCGAAGCCCCCAATCCAAAACTCGAAACATCTGATATAGGGGCCTCCTTGCTGATTAGAATAGGGTTTTGGGGTAATTACATCGCAGGCCGTGGATCCTAAAGCACGAACCTCAAAAGCCATAAGCTGAGCCCTTGCGCCTCCGGTGTCGTTGTGGTGTGGAAGGATGCGGACACACCTTGGCAGCTGGGCGCTCGCAGACGTGCTCTCCTCCGGCGGGAAGACACCTCAAAGGGGGCAGCAAGCAAGTTCAGTGATGCTCAGTGAGGAACAGAGTAGGCAAGCTCTGGAAAAATTGTGGTACTTGTCGCCCAGGGAAAGATAACTGCATTTGTGGCCGAAGGGTGTATAAGGCTTAGCCAAAGAGTGCACAGAACATATTCATGGTCCAGTCGTATCCCAGAACGGTCGTGCCAGGCCAAGCTGAAGCCGTACTTCGATGCGGGATTCGGGTCCTTCTTTCACATGTGATTCAATTATGCTCCCAAAGTGGGTGGTTGCTCTTGTTACCTGGCGTAGTTCACAACTAACGCAATAACAAGCTGCAAAAGGCAATGCCGTTCAGCCATGCAAAGTTAGGGCCCAACAGGCTTGAGCATCAAGGACATACTCGCACTGGGGTAGACAGGCCCATAAACGGCCCGGGTGCTGCCATACAGAAATACAAGTTGAGGATGCTGCTCTGGGGCTTTGCCCTCCGATCTATCAAGCCTGTAAATCTGAAGCTCTAACTTCGGAGGTGTGATCCCGAAAAGCAACATAGGGATAATTAGAATAGGGTGGTATATTATACGATCTACTAATAATAAGGAACCCCCCAAAAGCAGAGGTAATCATTTAGGCCCCCATGTTACCCCTCCGTTTCTGCGGCCTTGAGCCAATTTTGCTCCAGCTGCTTGGGCCTCAGCTTGGCATGTCGAGGCATGGGTGGCAACTCATCAATCTGCCCAGAAATCAGCAAATTCCGAGCATGAAATGCCCAAGTACGGAGGTACAAAGCATCAGAATCCTAATAATCCTCATCATCAGTACCTCCATGATGATGATGATGATCACCGTCATCACCGTCATCATCGTCATCAGCATCATGATCCCATCTGCGACAGCATGTCTGTCATTATGCTTGTGTCATCGTCGCCACCATCATGCTCATACAGCTGACACCAACCGATCGAACAGAACCCTGCGGGCTCTCTGTAAAAAAAAGGAAGCACCATGCATACGTGACAGACCGACCGATGCAAACGATCTCCGACAAAGAGTCATCGGCAACTAGCTTCTCGCACCCCTGCTGCTTCCAAACCAGAAACCCTCTATAAAAATGTAAAACACGCTTCAACCCAACTCCAACGGTGTCATTTAGTATATGTTATAGCATACGATAGTCTACTATAGTCTGTTATAGTCTCTTGTAGTTTATTGTGCTTTACTATTTCCCGCAGATTTCACGCAAATCCCCGAAACGGCGCAGCGGCAGCGCCTCCGCAAAGTTGGAGAACGTGTGCCGCTTGCTGGGATGCGCCACCTCTCGGTCCGAGCACAGATTTTGGGGCTTCAATCTTTATAGGATCTTATAGTACTTACAGACTATAGACTATAGATCCTATACAGTAGCACTTATGGTATCTCTACGGCTTGTAAGGTTTAGGAAGCAAGTGTCATACACTGATACACCTTGACTTCATCGGTTAAACTCGCGATGCTATTTTATTCTGTTTCATCAAGTCGCTACCAGCCTTACTGAAGTGCGAGCCATGCCGTTATCAGCTGAATGTCCAGTGCGCTGCCTGGAAGTCTTCTGACTATTACCATTTCCAGCTACAGCGCTGGATTCAGTCATGTTGCATTGGGCTGCCGGGGTGTTTGACAGGTTTACGGCTTGGAGGCGGCTTCAGCGTTTTAGTGTACGGCTCAAGTTTCGCTACAGCCCGGAAGTCCCCAACCCCCTGAATCCTATGAAGCCCTCACAAAGCCGTCATACACCCATACTTGCAAGACGTCGAAGCCCTCAAAACACCGAACAAGCCCGCTGTCGCCTTCCATTTCCGCAAGCCAGGAGCCGTTTTCAGCGGCGCGAGCATTTGCCGCGCCTCTTTGAGTTCCTTTGGCTCGGAGGCTTTCGTGGGCTTTGAAAGACGTCTTCGGGGTCTTTCGGAGCTTCGTGCTTATGAGCCTTCTACGCTTTTGGATTTACATGCTGGGGCAGCTTGCTTCCACAGCCCCAAGCCCTAAGAACTTCTCTCTTTACCACCCTCTGCAGGCTGGTTTGTCAGGGCAGAAACTACTTACGTCGCGCATGTAGAACTGCTTTGCGGAAGTATCGGCAAGGTGACCACTTGTCCAAGTTATTTTCCGCGAGAAACTGCCGCACCCCTTCTGTGAGTCGAGTTCTACAGGCCTGCAGGCTGAGAAAATCATATACCTATAGTCTCCATTGTAGTTCCCTTTTTTGGTTTAACCAATTATATATTAAGGATTTTATAAGGTATCCCCAAAAAGGAACTACAATGGAGACTATAGGTAAGATTGCGTCGGGCCAATTGTTCGGCCCACTAGCTTCAACCACGAAGTTGACCCATGCCCCCACCCTCTTCCCTCTAGACTCCTTACACAAGTGAGCCCGGGGCCTTCTCCGGAAATAAAACGTATTACAATTTTAAACCGGCGTAGAATTACTCCGCTAGCCTGCGTGGGGTAAACGACGATTGGAGGCACTCCGCTACTCCGCAAGAGCTTGTATGTGAGACCATACGCTTGTCGCTCGAAACTTTCTTCTCGGGGATGTGTAACATAAATATAACCAATATAGTATAGTACAATAGAACATAGTAGAACATAAATGATCTATAGTAACATGGGGTAGTATAAGATAACAGAGTATAGTACAATGCACTGAAACAGAACAGAATAGAGTAGAACCACTATACCTATAGTCTCCATTGTAGTTCCTTTTTTTGGTTAAACCAATTTTATATTCAGGATCCTATAAGGGAACCCCAAAAAGGAACTACAATGGAGACTACAGGTAGAATACAATATCATTTGAGCAGTGACATCCTGCGGTCGCCTAAGTCGCTTCTGGTGGCGGCGCGGGGATTGAGCCGTTGGTGTTCAGTTTTGGGCTCTAGGGGTGATTTGGTGTCGGAGAGGCCCCATCACCTGTCTGCTGCTTAGTAGGGAATCGGGGAATGGATCCCTATGATAGTCCCTTTCAGGTCCCTTATAGCAGTCCCTATAACCCATTCCCCCATTCCCTACTGAGCACCAGACAGTCACGGAAGAGAGCGCCTTCCGGGGTGATGGGAGTTTCGTCAGCTGCCGAGACTGGGAAGCCTTGTCGGGGCCCTTCAACTCACAAAAGCCGAGATGCAGCGCAGCCCGTCCGCAGGATCTCTGCCACGACAGCCTCGTCCTCCACGGGAGAGAGGCTGCAGGTGCCTGAGATACAAGCAAATGGCTGACAGATCCGATGATGTTTGGTGAACCTTCCCTGTCCTGCTTCATGGCAAACAATAAACAGTACAGCAGCGAAGCATCTTCCCTCGAAAGCATTTAGTTTCCTCGAAGACCTTGTGACGTTAGACTGCACACTTCAGAAGCCTCAGAGTCCAGCGACTGTAAACCAGGCGCCCCCCAATGCGTAGAAGACGCAGGGCGCGCAGAGCCACCTTGCCGCCCAAGTGCAAGACTGGTTTCTGGCTTGCCCAACTTGACATCGGCAGGCTGTGAAGCATGTAGTTTCTGAGGCATGAAGTCAAGAGGTGTTGGATGTCCTTAAGAGTCATCGCATGCTTTCTCTTCTTGTTTGACTGGCTTTTCCGGTCATGTGTTTGTGCAATATTGCATGCCTCTTCGTAATTAAGCATGTTTAGAGTTCAGGGTTCAGGGCTTACGTTAGCCCCAAACAACCCGTAAGGACGTGCAACATAAAGAAATATCATAACAATGAGCCCTCCAAAGGGTATAGGTGATGTGGGGTCCAGGTAGGGCTTCATGGTTTCAGTCTTCAAACTCTAGGATTTTGGGCCCTTCGGCCGAGAAGCGGCCAGCTGCGAGGCATGCAGCTCCAAGCCGAGCTTTGGGGTCCACTCCTGGGCTTTCGGCTTTTGGGGTCCTATGGGCCTATCACGGCTGCTTAATGCGTCCCTAGTGGCTCAATGGGCTTCGGGGTTTCGGTGTTTACCGGTTCAGGGTTTGGGGGTTTGGCTTGGGGCAGTGGAGTCTCCGACAGTCCCACGCAGAGTGCCTCAAGCTTTCAAAGCAGGGAGCAGCGCAAACCCGGAAGAGAGTTAACAGCCGAGTCTCACGCCAAAGGTGGGGTGACTTTCGGAGCGTTCCGTCCTCGTACAGAAGTTGCAAGGAAATGGGAGTTTTCAACAACGTGAGAGTCAGGTAGATGCGCACTCTATCGCTACAGCTGGCCTTCCTGCGAATCGATTGTTCTCAAAGTCTGAGGCTTCAGTTTGGATAACGTCCTTGCCAATCCCGAAGGCTCCAGTCACCTAGATAGGCGACCTATAACCGTTACCAAGCATACAATAGATGTACCTGTAGTCTCCATTGTAGTTCCTTTTGGGGGATACCTTATAAAATCCTTAATATATACTTGGTTAAACCAAAAAAAGGAACTACATGGAACTACAATGGAGACTATAGGTAACCCAGAAAGATAACGGAGTAAGCTGTTACTTGGGTAACCCAAGAGAGCCCAATACCCCTTAAATAAGGAATACAGCTTAAATCATAAGATGAAGCCCCTTATAATTTAAGGTATGTTCCTTACTTAAGGGGTATTGGGCTCTCTGGGAACTGGAGCCCAAGGGCCGGGTGACTCCGAAGAAAAAAACTCCGACGCTGGGCCCAACACACTGGAGCACATCACGTCGCAAAGGATGCGGTCAAAGAGCACCTCACGCGGCGTAGAGGAATAGAGGATCTCTGCAGCAGCAAGCTATAGCATCGAAGTTCAGCTACAAAATTGAATCAACAACCCTGATGGGCCAACCCTAGAGGTATTTAAACTGATTTCGGTCTACAGCCAAACCTCGGGCACCTCCTGGCCCCCTTCGTCGCGAAGGCTCGGGAAGTAGCGGGCATCGTGGGAGGTGAAGATCACCAGGGGATACAACGACTGGTGCCTCCCCGGAGTCTTATCGGAACTCTTGCAGGAAACCTCAATCCTAAACTCTACGGCTCGGAGATTGCGTCGTTCTTGCTGCAACACTTATGCTTGTCCGGCTTGCTCCGTTTACGTTGGGGCGGTAGGCTGGAAGAGCACACACGAATTCGGAGAACAAGCCTCGGGTGGAGCTCCTAACCTCGGCTAGCCAGTCCTGGCTTTTGTAGGGTCTATGTAATTAGGTGTTCTGAGCATGGGCTTTTGTGGGGTCGATGAGTCTATAGGGGTTCCTAACATTCCCAGCCTTCCTCAGCGCCGGGATGTCGAAAGTTCAGGGTTGTATACGCTCGCGATATGGAAGACTGCTATGCTGAGGGATTACTGGGGAGCTCTATTTCCGATTCTGTGGATTGTCGATCCTTCGGCATGAGAGGGCCGCAAACCTTGGCCATCAGGGTTGGCACAACCTTTGAGACCTCTCTGTTATCCGGCCCGGCCCTGATCCTGCCTGGCAATCTGATGCACGAGCATCCCTGCCCGGTCTGTCGAGATCTCGTTGGCGACCACGCAGCCCTCGTCGGCGGAGTAGTCGATTCCTGGGATGCACTTTTCACCGCTCCGAATCTTGTGGACATCGCTTAAAGCCCGAAGCAACGAAGCCCCAAGCAGTTGACATCCCGCCACAATTTTTCAATGCTTTTTTTGTGAGGCCGCGTTTACCAGAAGGGTCTAGGCTTCAAACGACCTGGACGGATGGTTCGCCTTGCTTCGCTCTTGTACTAGCTGTCTCAGGAGCTAGGAACCATTGGGTATCGGTATTTTGGCTTTGGTATCATATATATATATATGTATGTGTGTATATATATATATAGATTATATACACACATGCGTACACACACACATAGTATAATACCATAGAGCAGAATAGAATATACGATGAAACAAGGATAAGGTAAGATAAGAAATTATACCGTTAGATAAAATATCAACCTTCAAAGCAGAAATTTAAGTACATAAACAAGTGAACCAAGATAAGACTAGATTACATGATGACAAATAAATAAACTATATTTGTAATTATACATACATACGTACAAACATACATACATATATACATATACATACATACATAAAGTTCTGAAGAGCCTTAAGCCCAAGCTAGCGTCGGCCATTCAGGAAGCGCAAGCAGCGCTGCTTCGCCTCACCGGAGATGGACTCCAGTCCCCTGCCCAGGTCCGAGCCCCCGTGTTGAGAGCTAAGGGTTTACCCGTAGGCCCTATAGTAGGTTTAGGGTTTAGGGTTTAGGGTTTAGGGTTGGGGTTCATGTATAGAATCCTACAAGGTAACCCCAAAAAGGAACTACTATGGGGCCTATGAGTAGGGCTCACCTTTAGCCCAACAGCAGGAATCTTCTTGAGGACACACGTAGAACATAATAAAAAAAACATAAAAAGGCTGTCACCTTTAAGTTTTATTGAGGACACACGTAGAACACACACAAAACAACACACATAAAAAGGCTGAAGAGTCGGGTGCAGCTGTGGGGCGGTGGAGGGCCTCAAATAGCTCAAGGTTTGGACGCAAAGGCGCCAAGAAGATGTAACCAATGCAAAGAATAGGGCTTTGGGGTATAAGCCATGGTAGCAATAATGGTTGTCAAGACATCCGCTGCAAAATGCTAGCAAAACCGAACTAAACCTGTCAGTCGTGAATAGCAGCGTGGCGTGCGATGTTATCTGAGACAAGGCCTCAGTGCCAAGACCTTGAATGGATGAAGCCAGGGAATCCCCCAATCCCGAAACTAAACTGCGAACGCCCTCAAGCAAAAAACCCTCCAACCCGCTGCCATGCCTGCCCCACTTCTCAAAGTTCGCCTTAGCAAAACGAGAAAAGCATACCAGAACCGAAGCTTCCACGTGTGACAGCCGAGGCAGAAGACACTTCTCCGAAAGTCCAGGGCCAGTGTTATTGAAATCTCAACGTCATCATCCTACTTGCTCCCTCGAGTAAAGAAGTACATTGACATGCCCCTGCTGCGTGGTGCAGAGTCGTGGGTGTCTACCCCGGCCTCGAAGCTTGAGATTTTAACATCTCGACAAACCCCGTTGTCACCTCCACCAACATGGCTCTGCAGTGCTGTCAAGCGGCCTTTGCAAGTTGAACAAGCATCTGCGCCGTCTTGCCTGTGTCCCGAGTCGGTGCTAGTTAAGAGTACCCAGCACCAGCACCTCTCTCCATATCCTTGGAGCTGTCCAAATCTGAAAGACAGGCTTGTAGAGGTGAGCGAGGTGGGGGTTTCCGAAAATAGGGGACCCTAATACAATACCCCAAATAATAGGATCCCTGATATAAGGACCCCCAAATAAGGTACCCCTAATTTTCGGAAACTCCCAGGTGTGCTTTCTCCAAGTTGCTGCCAGGGCTGGCACAGGTGTCGAGGCAACGATGGCCAGCTTGGACCTGCAATTTCTTTGTACGAGCACCGTGTGGGAGTTTCCGAAAATTAGGGTACCTTATTTTGGGGTCCTTTTAATAAGGATCCTACTATTTAGGGTACTATATTAGGGTCCCCTATTTTCGGAAACCCCCGTGTGGCTCAGGGATCAGAAAGCTCCAGCCGTCGGTTTTACAGGGGGACTGCAAGAGCAGTCTTTCCGAGCACGTGCAAGACGCTAAGCCGAACCCAAACCATTACGCTGCGAACCGACAGCACATTGCAGGAAACATTCGCCAGGTGAACAGTGTTTCGTGTTGTGCTTCGGGTTGTTCTTGTATCACTGGTGACTACGCGCGACTCTGCTGGATCCCTGATTTAGATGGGGCACGAGACTATGCAAGTGTTTCATGGAGAAACTTTGCCTACGCAGCCTACGAGCTGTGCAAAGGTAAGTCACCTGGTGAATCAAGGAATGATACTGTAGCTAGCCGAGGCACATCCAACAGAACCACCGGCAGCATAGAAACCTGAAGGACCAGTCTCTTGCCTTCAGCTGTTCAGTTCTTTCTACAGAGTGACCCCCCACTTGACGTCAAAGCTGCTCTGCCGACTCCGGGCTGCAAAGATCACTGCGACACCTCACTTGCACCAGAGACGGGAATTCCCTAAAACCGCAACCCAACACATCTTTAGCCCTCGGCCCCTGCCTCCTCCATGCGGTTGATGGTGCCCTTGGCCAAGGGGACTCGGGAGTTCAAGCCAATAAGCCGATCAGGGCCCCTTGTAAAGTAGCTTGAGATGCACCCTAAACCCCCAACCCCCACCCCCCCACCCCCCTCCCCACCCACACGAACACACGAACACACCCCAAAAAAAGGCCTCTGAAATCGAAGGGAAGCCTTGGCAGTGTGCTCAATGAGCATCTCGTGGAGCGGCTTGAACTGCGCATCCTCGGGGCGAAGGCCGAACAGGGACACCGATTAGATGTCACTGCGAGCTGCAACTGCGGCATCTCTTTGTTGTGCTCGGCCACTGCCACTGCCACAGCAGCTTCCACAAAAAAACAAACAAACAGCAGAAGCAGCAGCAGCAGCAGCAGCCGCCGTCTCACTACGCCACTACGCCACTGCCCCAAACCACAATCAAACGGCAGCAATGACGAAGATCACGACGATGCAGACCTTCATTACTCGTCATCGTCACTCGTCACGAAGAGCAAGAAGGCTTTATTCCCAAAAGATAGCGGTGCAGGCTCGATGGGCTGTCCGGCAATCGCAAGCTTTAGCCGGGGGCTTAGGCATAGTCACAACTGCAGACCATTATGGCCTCACATGACGGAGATTGACTGGCTCGCAGCCGGGCGACTGTTAGGGCGCATCCATACACTAGCAGGCCGCGTCAGGCTCCCATGTGGTCGGGTGCGGCTTCCACAGTCAAGGAACCTCATGGATCCTGGCTCTCCACCTCTCTGCATTCTTGCTCCAAGCCAGGCGTCCTTCCGCAGCACCGTCTTTGGGATGTCCACCTGAGGTGTCAGATCTTGCCATGGTACAACCTACCGAAATGACTAAGCCCCTGAGCTGCATGGCTGCCCCTTGTCGACACTGAGACCTGCAAATCACACAACGAAAACCCTGCAAGCCCCAATGCATCTCTTTAACTTCCAGTGTTTGCCCTCCCAGCCTGCTACGCAACTTGCTGCAAGGCACACGCCATCCCAGCTCGTCAGGCATCCATGCGAGTGGCCGCACGCAAAGCCTCCACTGCGCAGCATGGCTGGCAATTCCCAGAAATGAGGACAGATCTTTTGCCGGCACAACTGCAGAAGCTGGAGCAAGCAGTAGTAGAAGTCAAGTTAGTCCTCCTCCATTTCCTCCGTACCGCTGCTACTGCTGGTGGGCTCCTACCAGTTAACTTCTGCGACGACTATGAGACTATGAGCACCACACTGCAGTAGCAGCCGCAGTAGTTGTCTTACTCGTCCTCGTCATACTTCATCGATAGCGTTACTAATCGCCTGGGCTCCGCATCTCCTGCGTCCGCTGCGGCGGCAGCCGCTCCGAACTGTTTCAGGGCACCTTGGGAAAGGAAGACTACATCTAGCAGAATCTGGCAACAAGCTTTGCGGTTTTCGGCATAGATTGAGGGACCCCGTCCCGTCTTGATAATCCTCTGGCTCAATGCTGCTGTGGTAGGGTTCCCTGCGGGCAAGCCAGATTCAAATGCAGGGCAAAGAGCTGCGAACTTTGTCTGCATCCCGATCCGTGGGCGTGACCCAAAGGGTGGACGGAAGAGGCTGGCGCAGACCTCAAAGCAGTGCCGTAGAACTGTAAGGTCCAAGTTGGACAGGACACATCAGCCGTGGATCTCAAGGCTAAACTTCTTGCTCTTCTGATACGCGACCTTGCTATCCATACACCTTCTAGCAGGGAGTTCCGTCGCAAGTACTACTGGCACTGTGCCTCTGAAGATGCAAATTTGCTGTTGGCGGCTCTGAGTCATGGCTACAGTAGTAGCATTGCCGCTGCTACGCCACTAATGCCGCAAGTAAGGTTCATATTGTTGGCATTGCTGCTGTTCTCTGCTGTTCTGGTGCACCTGTAGTTCTTATACATCGCTCTGCTTAAGCTTCCTTGGTGATGCTTATAATTGTTCTTGCTGCTGGTGGCCGGGGGAATGTTCTTATTTCTTGCGTAGTTCCGTTCCTGCTTCGCTGTTCTTGTCGGCCTACCAGAGTGCTGCAACTCTTGTGACAGCTTGCATACCTGTTGCTGCCGTGCTAGCTCTCCTTGACAAGGCCGTTGTCCGTGCCATGATTATTGAAAGGACTTTTGAGGGTTCTGACTGCACATGCCAGTGTGAGTGTGACCTTTATTGTCGTGTGGAGAGTGTCCACTATAAGGCTGGTCGGTGTGATTTTCGTGTGGAGTCGACAGGACTGATTGAAATGATGTCGAAAGCCGAGCATGCTCTGCTTGCACTTAACCGAAAGGATGTCACGAGACAAAGACATCCTCCAGCCCCCCCCCCCCCCCCCCCTCAGCTCGGCGCTGTCCAGGAACGCTTCCCAGTCGGCACCCTCCTGAAGGGTACAATGTCTGTATAATTCCTGTCTGTATTCTGAATGTTCCGGAACCGCCATTTATCCTCATTTTGAGGCTTTGCAACAGAAAGTCTACATACCAGCCATGACCACCACAATCGTCAAATTTTCCAGTGGCCATAACTAGTGACCACGCGTCATGGTTCCCATCACAGCAATCAAGAGGCCGGTCCTGGATGAGCCCACCCTCCACCTGGGAAGAGTTCCACAACGAATAGTCAACATTGTTACCTGACAGTGTTCCTTCTCTGACGGTTGAAACTACTAACGACTACTAGTAGTTGTTCATGGAGAGTAAGTTTCGGCACCTGGCGCTCTTGGCACCCTGATTCAATTGAGGAAGGCCACGGCAGGCATCTGTGGCCGGTCCACCTCACCAAAGACCGGAACCCTACAGATCCACTCTATGCCAAACCGAAGCCCCCAACAACCCTCCCTCTAGGCCCTATGGTACTAAGGTAGACCTGAGGATCTTGAAAGACGAATTGAATGGTACCTTCAAATCAAATCCTTTAAGGCCTTCGGGCCTTGGAATCTCCAAGTTCATGTGGCTTTTTGGGGCCGCCGTTCTCTTGCAAGGCACCAGATTTGTCCAATAGAAGCTTTCGAAGGCTCCGTTGCGCTGCCCGGGAGCAGCAGATGGCCTTGCATAGTACAGCTGACATGGCTGTTGAAGAGATATATAATGGGGTATCATAGAATCATACAGAGTATTACCGTATTATTGTTCACACATTCGGAGGGTGACACCAGGATACGTCAGGTCAGAATGTGCACCACACTCGAAGGACAACCGGCAGTGAGCACTTTTTCATGAGACCCGTACTGCTTGTAACCCGTTGCCCCGGGCGCGAGCCATGGTGACTCAGCGGCTGAGAGTTTCGTCTTCAAAGGATCCTACTATAATTAAAGGTATAT